CTAATATTAATGGACATGTTATACGAATTATGCCAACTTCAAACTGTCTTCATTAGTTGTACAATTTTGTAATTTTCTTTACTTAAGTGTACTGCAGTATATTACATTTTTTATAAAAATAATAACTAGGTAACTAATAACTAGGTAAATAAAACTGAATGAAAATAAAAAATAGTAACAATTTTGTTTACATTTAAAATTAGCTTTTCCCCGCAACTTTGTCCGTGCGGATTTAAAAAAAGCTCAGTAAATTGCATAAGTTTTTTCAGACTATTGTCTACATTTATGCTTTATCATCCATTTCAACAAACATCCATTCAAACTTTCGTATGATTGAGAACTTAAAAAAATCCACATTGTATTGTAAAAATCCACTCTAGTTCAGGAAATATCTTATAATAAAATGCAAAAGACAACTAAGTAAATATACAAAATATCAAGTAATGTATTTGTATTTTAAAATCAAATTTATTTACAAGCTTACATCATCAAAATCTATTTCTCATCAAACTAGAACTACACAACATAACACAGCAGTTACTAAAACTGCAGAATTGAATAAAAATTGCATTAGAGATGACTCACAGAAGCTAATACTTCCATTGTCTAAAGTTTATTGTGTGTAATACATAAATAGTTGGCTGCGATCCAAAATAACTGACATACAATAAACAAAATAAGAAATAACAAAACAACAGCATGCTATATGTTAAGCCCTCTATACATTTTTGCTCCACAGTCCCCTGCCCCTCGGCAGCCATGCTTCAACTATTCTGTTAAAGCTTTGCAGTTAAAACTGAAGGTGTATGAGGACATTGAATAATTTTATAATTATCTATCCATTGTTTTAGCAATATGAAATACTTTGCTATTTGTCTCCTGTAGTTTGCAATAAAAGTTTATTGGTATTATCTATATTAACATTATAAAGAGGAAAGGTTTATATTTATGGATTTTTGTATTTATTGAAATAACTCAAAAACTACTGGACAGAATTCAAAAATTCTTTCACTATTAAAAAGCTATATTATCACCGAGTAATATATGCTCTGTTTTTTTATTATTTTCAATTATGATGATGTCGCGAGCAACAGCTAGTTTGATAAGACTGCACAAACTGTCTTAAACATTGCTATCTCTTTTTCCTATAGTAAAATAAATAGAGAAAAAAACACTTTATATTACAAGTGTTTTAGCATTGAACACCTCATATAGTAAAACAATCTCAAAATGTTATTCCATGTCATGGACATTCATTATCTTATCAAAATGATGCAAGATATTTATCTAAAATATAAACCTGGTACAAGTTCACCTGACACTTGTGAAATAAATTAAATTCTAGTCACACCTATTGGCCGTAAAGAGTTGTATAGGGCTAGGGGGTACATGTTAGCCTAATAAATAGATGTTTACTCTTCTTTTAATCTAGGTTTTAAAGTAAAAAGGGGGATGCTACAAAACAGCTGTTAAAGTGGGTGTTACAAAATAATTTTGCAAACCTCTACACCAATAGAACTTAGACAATTTAACACATTAAGTACCTTGTTATACAAACTACAAGTTCACTTCAAACATAAAATCATAGTGGCATTGAAAGTGTTCAGAGATAAGATTATCTTAGACCGGACATATCACAGCACCTTTTGAATGAGTTTAAAAAAAAACTAAAAAAAACTCAACTGTAAATATAATATTAACAAGTACAGTAAAGTCGCAAAGTCAATGCAAACTTATTATTTATCCTAGCCATTCCAGTGCGGCTACATCCGCACTAAATTATGAAAATTTTATTTTATTGTTTACATTTGTCAAATTATCAATTGAAAATGTCAAAATGATATGACATGACAACCATGGCAATCTTACTTCCTTGATGTTAGCTCATAGCCTATGGTCCCTTTCCCACATTAGGGTTTTTATCTAATTTATTCACCCCCTAAGTTTAACAGCATGATAATATATAGCCTTAAGCGTGACACAAGTGTAGGGCTTTTTTATAAAACAAGAATGACTCAAAAATATGCTGTGATTGCCGACATTTTACGCCACAAAGTAGTGTGTGTTTATGCTTTATTATATTAGTATAGATAGATACATTTTTCACATTTGTGTATTATGTATGTAATAGATGCGTAAATACTATTCAATTATATCGTATTCTAATGTTTCTGTAGTTTGATCTTGGTAAACTTAGTAAGTAGCCTATGTATTCTTTCAGACTATGTTCATTTGTCTAACATTTGTGATAAATTTTAATCAAGATCTATGAAGCCATTAGAAAAGAAGTAAGACTAACTACACTAGACATTACTCCGTATTCCTTAAATGATAATAAGTTTTTAAAAACTAACTACAAAACATGTACTGCAATTTCTTTAACTAATTTATATTTAATACAATAAATACGAATGGGTCAGTGACTTTATATTATTTTCTACTGTCCTTTCATTTCGTACAAGATTATTAGACCTTGTAAACGCGCAAAGTGCAATAATTGTTGCCGATTAGTCATCAAATGTCAATCCCCACTCGATAAAACAAAATACTTGATGTATTGGGCTTGTTATATCCGGTCTTTATAACCATAATAATCATACAACTTGTGATTAGTAATTTGTCCACATAAATGATGAATAATAAAACAAAAAAAATCGTTTCAGATGACTGGCAGATGCGGAAAATGGCGTTACAAATTTAGTTTTTTAAACTCCTATTTTAACGTTATAGACTAGACGTGCAACTTCATACGATTACACATTTCTTCTTACGATGTACTTAAAATTATTTTAAACTTCTTTTATTGTAAAGAAATATAAAACTTACCTTTCTAAATAAAAATGACAGGAACACACAGCACTAGAAAAATCACTGTTATATCAATTGTAACAACATAACGGCATCAGCTGAGCACAGGTAACAAATTATCAACTCTCGATGTTGGCTAAATTGAAAGTGTCTAGATAACATAAGAGGAGCAATGGGCGCAAATTTAATTTAAAATCATTCAAATTACGGTTTAAGGTTTTCAAGATTTAAAAGTTTTTAAATTAAGTATTATTATTTAATTTATACTGTAAGGACAGTTACCTATAGTTTGTCTAAATAAGATAGATTGGTTTGCATAGTTTGATAGAATAAGCATGACATGAAACTATTGATTTAATGAATTATTAAGTTACACAAAGGCACGGGAAGGAAATTAAATATAAAAAATAATTATCCTACTATCAAACAGAAGTTTTCTTAATTTATTTTCCACCGTTTTTATTATTATTTACTATCTATGGTGATTACAGAGTTGAGCTTGGTTATTATATACTCTTTGGTTCGAACTGTCACTGTTTTTACCAGTTTTTATTTTTTGTGTGTTTTAAATTGTGCAAAACTGTAACCGAAGTGGTTTTATATCTGTTTAAATATCGCTAAAAGAATACCCTAATACGGTTTCCGCCAAATGTGAGCTACTATTTAGACTGTGGTGTGAAAAAGTAAATAATTTCTTATTGCATGAATGGAATGCTTAACAAATTTCGTTCTTCATTGTAATGTTTATTCAGAGCTTACAATAACTATGTCTCATCATGTTTAACTTCGGTGTCGGCGTATATTTCTTATCAATAATCTGGTTCATTACTTTTATGTTGTGCTGGGTTTCTGTCCGAACTGGTCATTTCATAGGCAAAGTAGCAGTCACAATTTCGATTATTTTAACCATTGTTTTAGTTTCATTGCCAAAAGGGGATGAAGAGTATACTAGTGCCAATTTTTACGACAAGACGTATATCCCGCGCTATACGATATTCGCGCTATTGCTAATTAGTGTTGTGGCGGGCGGCCTATTTTCGTTTATCTACGCGTGCTTAGCGCCTGTGGAAACTCATAAAGTAAAAACATTTGGTTCAAATAATTAGATTATATTATTGGTGAGTTTAAGAGTAATATTTGTGCACCTTATTATATTGAAAAATCATGTATTGTCGGCTAACATAGATCACAAAAGCAAGGCCTTAAGTTAACTTCATTATTACTGCTTCTATCTATGAGTGTTAGTAGATGCTAATTTCATATACTAGACACTGCTATTACTTGTATTATAATAAGGTGGCAAATGAGCAAACAGCCACTTGGATTTACTAACTAAATGAGGTGACAGAAAGAAAACCTCTTGCTATGTATCCCCTCCATCAAACTACTTCCCCTTCCCATCCTTTCCTTAGAAAAATATGTTTAACCCTTACACAAACAAATGTGTTTTTTAGATAATTGTGAACTGGTCTTTACATGAGTGGATAAAGAGTACTCACAAGTAGGAAATTATTGCCTAATATTTGATTAAGTGTTAAAGCATATTTAAGTAAATATACAGTTAAAGCTAAATATACTGATATCTTGGTTATGTGTAAATAATGATGTTTAAAACTATACATATAATAAAATTATAGTGTCTGTAATATCAAAAGAAAAATTCCAGAGTTTGGAAAGATGTATTTGCATTGCTGATAACAATAATACCTTAAAAAACAATCTCTGTCTGTCTGTTCGCAAGCCATGTTTGTTCTGGGTCTCGTGTGGGACAATATCGACCAAACTTCACTGAAGGGTAGCTGACATAGACGGGCATGTTTAAAGCATATTTTGTTATCTTAATATTGTATGTATGAAGTCGCTGGCAAAAGTATTTAATACAATTGTTAAACTTATTAATCTTGAGTATAGCATTCACACTGGTTTGACTTTATCAACAGCTAGAAGTAGCAGTTATCTATATGACTTCCTGAATACAAGCTTATCAGTATCTATTAATAATCTCATGTAAGTCATTTCTAAATGTAATTAACTTTTATTACCTGACTACCATTCAGTAAGCCAGGGATTGTGAACATTTTACTCATATACATTAAAGTCCTATTTTTGTAAAGAAATGCTCAATGACATAGGCCTTCCCCAATATGTTCCACAGTTTGTAGTTCTCAGCTTTTTGCATCCAATCACATCCTACCATTCCAAGTTATATGCCATCAAAATAATTTTGACTTTGTGGTTATTGGGAAGTCTATCAACCTGAAGTGGACTAGCATAGTTGACTATGTCCTTGTCAACCCTAACTTAGGGTAGGTTTGGAGCCCTTCAGTATATGCTTAGAGCCCTTCAGTTTACACTTAGTGACCTAATGAAGACTTGAAGAAGTTGAGATCACTTATATTCACTTCTCATAACATACTTCACTATTTTTTGTTGTGCATAATGAAGTTTCAATCTCGAAATTACTGCCTAAAATGTGTGCCAAAGGTTTGCCATTCCTGTGCTAGAATTTTTATTTGCCTAAGCTAATAACACATAGGCAGAACTCAATGTTTCATAGTGACATACATTTTGAGAAACTCTTTACAGATAAAATGAATAATGCCATATGCAAGGGTTTGTGCTCGCCGATGAGGAGTTTGGCAAATTTGAGAAGAGCTAAAGCGATATCAACCTCAATAGTGCACAATGAAACTATATTGGTTAAGAATAATGAAGAATTTGTTAATAAGGTAAGTTTTTTAATTGGAGCAACTTCAAACATAAATCTCAAATTTCTGGAGACCAAAATCTACTCTTCTTCACCACTAAGGCATGGATGGAAAGGGGATTTTTTGAAGGCGAGAGGACACAAAGATGAAATAACCTTATTATGTGTTCCTTCTGTAGCCTGGACTCTCTCTTTATCTATACAACAGTGGTAGTGCCCGCTTTAACATCTTAGCACGAATTGGCCGGCACGCCCGGTGTAATACCACGACCACACAGAAGACAGGCGTGAAATGGAACCAATACCGTGTTTCGTCTGATGAGTGTGGTGCCGGAGGCCTAATTTAAGTCCCTTTATCTTTACCACCCCTTTCTTATGAGAGGATGGGAAGGGGAAGGGGACTTGACGATGGAGGAGATGCATAGGGAGAGGAAATATCCTCTTTATGTGCATGTCCTCCTCCGTCGGATAAGGGTAGGCGACGCATCTGCAATTGCAGGTGTCTATGGGCAGTGGTCGCTTCGCCATTCTGGCGGATTCAGGTGGCCGCTTGCTCGTTTGCCATCGTATGTTATAAAAAAAAAATAATTTAAATTTGGCTTTATTCTTGTTTACAACATACAATATTCTATGTTTCAATACTCCAACAATATAAATTACTAAACAACATTCCAGTACATTTGTTAACATTTTTATTTAAGGTGATGAACAATGATAAGCCAGTTATAGTAAATTTCCATGCGGAGTGGTGCGAGCCGTGCAAGATCCTCACACCCAAGCTGAAGGAACTGATAGAACCGCTGGACAATTTGGACCTGGCTATTGTAGATGTTGAGGAGAATGCAGATCTAGTGCATACTTTTGAGGTAAGTATTTTGTGAAATCAGGTGGCTGCTTGTTTTTTAGCCACTTTTATAAAAAAAGTACATTTTTGCAAGTTTTAATCCTAACCTTTGCTCTATGTTGATACAAGAGTTTTTGCCCTATATATCAATGTATCTTTAACTGACTTCAGATAAGGTTCTCAATTTTTCTGCTATTTTTATGTCTATATCGAATACGCTGCGATTCATGATCTCCGTGGTTTTTTTTTTGTTAGATGCGGAATATCTGACATTTGGTTTTACTTTTTACATACAAAAAGTATCTAGTAATTTTTGAGTTTTTAAAAAGCGTATCAAAAGTCGTAAGGTTTTTTTTGTCTTGAAGTTAATTTTTTTAATGTAACACAGTTCTAAAAAACTCTTTAATATGTAAACTACCTTTTCATTAAAATTGGCACAATTTTCGACATTATAAACATAAAGAGGACTTGCAGACTATTTAAAAATTGTTTTTTTTTTTACATAAATAAACCATCGCTTGACAACGATTCCTCAAGCTGAGTGAAGACGCGGTCGAAGGATAAATGCGCGCTAGCTGATTTATAAAATTTCATTAACTATATGTTTCCCAGGTAAAAGCAGTTCCAGCTGTTATAGCTGTAAAAAATGGCCTGATCGTAGATAAATTTATAGGACTAGTGGACGCAGACATGATCACAAACCTTATAGACAAAATGTCCGGTAAGAAAACTAACTCATAATCTACATGTTTACATTATTAGTAGATATCTGTTTATTAAATGACTTAACTTCATGTTAATTAGAAAAAAAACTGAAATGTCAAAGATAAAAATATTATACAACTTATATTATATGTAACTTTACTTGATTATAAGTAAGCAGCTAAGTATTATGTCTCTTTTTAATTCTTGCCAATCTTTTAGTATGGTCTTTGGTGTTTTTTAATGAGTAAAATTACACAAATATAAAATATTTTGTTTGGATTTCATATCATAGTACAAATTGAATAAATTCTTTATATTGTTATATATAAATGTTCTCTAAATGCCATATATGAGGCAAAGTGTAGTTATAGTTAAATGCTGAAAAAATAAATTAATTACATAATCTATATAAAAACCTTAATTAAATTTGAAATGAGAACAATATATTTTGTTGAAAATAATTTTATAGTTAATTTTTATAGATTTTGTACCTTACGCTTATTTTCTGTTATGCTGACAAAGATTTTTTTTAAAAGAGAGTATTTAATTTTGTTAATCACATTGTAATAAATTAGTATTTTAAAGCTATGTTTTGTTCTAAAAATGGCAGTATTTTGGCTTATTTGTATCTGTTAAAGTTGGCAACACTGATTGCAGAGCAACAAATTAAAAGCAATTAAAAGGTTTAAGCACAATTTCTTTTTTTTTTGTATAAGACAAGTTAAATTACATGCAAATAGTTATTTATTGTTTTTGAATTTTTTTTTCACGTCTTTCTGTCAAATTGACTCAAACATTTGCTAATCTGTGCTTATTTGTGTTGACTGAATAAAGTAAGTGTTACAAGAAATATTTTTTATATAAAAATGTAGTTATAGTAATGATGTAAAATGTATTGTTATAATAAATGTTTTATACAGTGTTTTAGTTTTTTTTATTTTCGTTCCTTTTACTGTTTTATTTTTTTTATTTTGCACTCTCCAATGATATAATTTTGACTTTCCATTCGTTTTGTTTTTGCATTGATATAAATACCAAATTAAAAAATTCTAATAAAAAATGCTTTAGGCAATTTTTTTTTAAAAATCTCTTAGTTTTTTGACAATATTTGATTAATAAGCACTAATAACTAAATGTCCACTGTAACAACGTCTGTACAAAAGCTTCCTATCTCTTTTTTTCAAACAGAATACAGGAGATAAGTATTTTTTGTACAGACTTTTCAGCGAAATCATAATACTACAACTCTTAGTTGAAAACCTAAATTTTGTACCTCTTTCAGACGATACTTTTAACAAATAATACAACATTCAGAATAATGTATTTTAAAACATATTCAAACAGATCAGTGAAAAGATATGACTGGAAAAATGATTGCAAAAAATTTTCTTCAACCGAACTTTTGAAAGAGCTCTACAAAAATTCACCGCAACCTCGTCTAAATGTAATGAAGGATTGAAATACAGTACAGTAGAACCTCGGTAACATAAAAACCTCTATAACTTCAAAAAATAATATTTTCTCTTTCCATCAGAGCCCAAAACCTCTATAACATAGATCCTTGATAACATAAAACCTCTATAGGTTCAAATATATGGAGTCTCCCTTAGACTTTAGCTTATCGAGGTTCTACTGTAGTATTTTCTTTTGTATTTTTTTAATCCTACCAAACAGCATACTTTTTAGATGCCTTTATCCGCTATTTAGTATAGTTCTTCAAATGTGATACCCAAGTAACAGTATTCATTTTTGTAGGTTTACGCATTACTGACATGTAAATTTATCTTAAAATAATAACGTTTTAAGCTATTTTTTTTAGGATTTGACTCATTTTTAGAATGGTATTAGTGATAAAATAGATTGAGCATAGATATAGATATTAAACTTGGCTGCTCTGCGCGATTTACACTCACTTCCAGTGTCCAGTGTATTAAAAAAAAGTAATAAAAAAAATCTACTGGACTAGTTTACAGAAAAATACATTTTTTAATTTTAGTGTGTTGGTTACCTTTCTTGCTACAAAAATCTCTGTCGAAAAGTCTTAAGGATTAAATGCTTTTTCCATTATTGAATTTTGTAAAAAAAAATTACACGAATATTTTTTTGACACGTCTTAAAATTCTTGTATTTTTCAAGTTCAAGTCGGGTTTCAGAGCAGCAAAGTAAATTTCGTCCTACCCTGAGCTTTTGTCCCTAAAACGAACTTTGAATGTATAACGAACTTTTGGATTTTTTAACATTTTAATGTGTGTAGTCCATCCCTTAAGCTTAATTAGTGCGGTAGATAATATTATATTCATAGTTTTTTTGATGTAATGAAAAAATTTAGATGTTTAACAGAAACTTTAGGACCATTTGTGGGTCCATTTTACTGAATTACTTCACGTTATAGGAATAGTTATGATAAATATTCGATTTTAAATAGGACTTAGCTAATAGTTCGCACTAAATTTGCACATAGAAACATGTTAATTTTTATTCTTCCAGTAAGATTCTACATTTTTTATTTCTTAAATATGAGTATCGGCAACAGGTAATGGTGTATTTTTTCTGGTAATTTAAAACTTGTAAATATTCATATCAATAAAATTAAAATGAATTTTTAGATAAAAAATAATGAAGCAAATAAGAATTTCAATGTTTGAAAACTTAATTCCGTTTGTACATAAATCGTATATTTCATAATTTTTCGTCCAAAATAACCTTGTGAATGTCAAAATTCAATCTTTTAACATTTTAAATGTTTACATTCGTGATGTCTTATGGTGTAATTAAATATATTTATCTTTAATATTGTTTTATTTCACATCTCAAGTTTTGGAGTATTAAAAGTGCTATGTTACTGGTATGATATCCCAATGGATTATAGCAATTTTGCCTCAACGATTTGTTAGCATAAATTAAAAAAAAAACTTTTTGTTTTTGTTATAAACTCTATGGAAACCAAGAAGAGTTTAGATATCATATATATAATAGGGAAAATTGCAATAAAACAAACATTTTCCAAGTACCGTTTTATTTCAGGATAGCTTGATATTCACAAGTAACAGAAATGTGCCGCGAGATGGCGCACAAACCAAACATCGTGCGCGGGAACATCGAGTTTAATTCAACGCAACGTCGAAGAAAAACTGGCGATATTGATTTTGTGCTTTATTTCTCCAATTTATAAAAGAAACAATTCGTTTCTGAATACAAATTTGCGTAACGCCAGTTATTTTCTATCGATCGCACGTTAATCTATGGAAATATTTGTTCTAGAATATTCGACCATACATTCATATTCAACTTTGTTGTTTAGGTTAGAAATTTGCATACAAACATTTAATATTCGGTCGCAAGCCGCGAAGCCGCGAGAAAACACATTTTGTGGACGGATTGTGCCTTCCTACAAATTTCTACCATTACATTTATTTAATGTCGATAATGGAAGATTGCTCGACAATAAACATAATTAAGAGAAAGCAAAATTAAAATGCTATCGTGATTGCAAAGAAAAACAATCAAATTTTTTTCAGAATTCATGTAAATTTTTTGCTTTTTTTTTACCAACATTATTTCGAATAAATTTATTTTTTAACAATTCTTTAAGTACACTGCAATTTTAGAAAAGATTGTCTATGAACATTTTTATCTAAGTTTCAACATTAACATTAAAATGCAGTAAAACTGTATGGTCCTTTGATGCGTTAATTCATAACCAATTTTTTCTTCATTAACTCTTAATTCGATAATGTCCAGTGTGACAGAACACTAATTAAAAAAAAATCTACAGAACTAGTTCAGATAAAAATACATGAGATTTTAGTGTGTTGGTAACACAATATTTTTTTTTCTACAAAAATCTCCGTCGATTTAATGGTTAATGAAAACGTAAATTAGAAAACGCCCTGCAATGGAATTATAGAAAAAAAAATCACCACAGATGTATAATTTAGAGATGACGTTTTTCAAACAATTTTGACGTCCAAGTCAATTTCGAAATGTCATTCTTGTATTAAAACAAATGTTGAGGGAATTAACTCTACAAAAAGCCTCTTCTGGCTAAAGATTACATATCTATAGATTATACATCTATGCTTTTGATATAAAAAAATCCTTTTTTGAGTTATGAGTTTTTTATAACCTTGAAATTTTCTACCATAAATATGCACAATTAATTTTTTACACAGATAGTAAATCCTGTTATATGTTGTTTTAAATAAATTGGTGATATTAAAGAAAAAAAATTACTTAACGGTGACTGAGTATTAAAAAATCTAAAGTAAAATAGGCAGTGGATATTGTGACAAAAAAATAACATGATTTAAATGTCTTTGATTTTGAAAGATTAAAAAATCTACATTAGAGCGGAAATTAAAAAGATTGTATATAGTTTAGTTCACTTGATTTATGATTCGTTCTATTCATTCGCGAATGATCAACATATGAATAATTTGAGTAAATTTTCAAAACTCAACGCACGACCCAACGCACATATAAATGTATATTATACACGATTATGTAACAAATAACAATTACATTTGTTGCAGTGCACACGAGTGTAGTATATTTAAAAACAAGTTTTTTTTTAGTTGTATTGACAGTTTTTTGTATTTTTTTCGTCTTGGACATTAATGAGAATGACAATTTTTGTCATATAAATTAAGATTCTAAAAAAAACTATATTTTTCGTCATATAGTGGTCACAAAATATTTTTTTATGTTATGTAATAGTTTTGATTTGGTAAGACAAGATTAAATAAAATTCACGTGTATAAAATTGGGGGGAAGTTGGCTTTAATTTTTTTTCATGTTTTCAAATCTACAACCGTGTGCACTCAGCTTTAATAATTTTTATTCTATGTTTTCCATAAATACAAGAGATAAATTTACAAATCGCGGCTTTTTGGTGTCGGAGGGGGACTAAGTATTTTTTGGGAGCGATAATTTTACTAGACACGAAAAAACTAATAAAAAAATAACAAAAAATAAAAAAGTATTCTACTTACGCTAGTGAAGTGTACACGGTTTTTACAATATATACATTATTATATACAAGGCGCTACAACACACAAACAAGCTTTTATATACATATCGGGAATTGCAAACTAAACATTTAACGTATATTAAAGATTTTTACATATAAATTAGTGCATTTATAATTAAATTTATCTAAACAAAGTAATTTTAGGTTAGTCAACATCAGTGTAGTATTTTTTGTCTATGTTTTTTTCTTAAAAAAAAAAACAGAAATTACATTTGATTACTGTTTTACTGAACTCATTAGAAGTTATTATTTTGAACAAAAAAAATATGGTCAAACTAGATTTTAAGGCAGAAAAAATTCAAAAAAAGAAAAAAACACAACAGTTACAGTACAGCAAAGTTTTTTACACTTGACACTGACAGTATGACAGTCATTGCCGGTGACAGTAAACAGTCTTTGTCGGTATAAGTTTTTTTATACCAAAAATACTACACTGTTAGGAATCGATTATTCCAAATTAGGCAAGAATCGAAGAATTTGTTCTAGTAAATCCAAACACAGTCTTATAGGTTTAAGACATATCACACTATTACCACCATTTCTATACAATGACTGGTCTATTTAGTAATTCCATGAGTTAATCCATTTCGAACCTTATTCTCATACAGATATGGTTCAAACTTCATCTCCGAGGTCCTGTACGCAGTTCTCAGCTATAGGCACAAACTTATCGTCAATTTGTACGAGGAGTATAGTTTTGTCGACGTGAGACCTCAGCTTGGGGTCCCTATGGTTGGGGGTCCATTTGTGCACAACCTTTAATATTATTGTTCTATTTAGTGTTAAATATTTTAAAAATAAAATTATTGATTTGAGCATATTTGCTTATTGTCTTAATGTTTAGATTTGTATTAAAATTAAAAATTGCGTTTGAAACATATGAAACTTTACGTAGGAGCCCTCATATTTTTCAAGAAACTTTTATTCCTTTATATTTGTAATTTTATCTTACTAATATTATAAATGCGAAAGTTTAGATGGATGTTTGTTAGAGTTTGTAGCCTAAACTGCTGAATGGATTTCGATG